AACACTTCTTATTTAGCATTTGTTGTGATCCTTTTAATACCTGGCACATGCTTGCATTGGGCCATAATTTCATAATCTTATAGGAGGCTCACTTTAAGACATCCAGACCACTCCCACTGTAGCTGTCATTGCTTTACATTTTAGTCAATCCTTAAGGGGCAACACAACATCACTTTTACTTCAGTTTGCTTTTCATTCTTCTCAGTCTTTCTGTCCTGCTTTTTTTAGCAGACAGTAATCACTTTGTGTTTACTGACAACTGCACAACATTCAACAACCTGACTGGCTTCACTGTACAAACGCAGCCTGATTGGGTAGATATGAAATCCACATGCCAAGAGTCATACTGACTGTAGATACCTGAAGGTTATCATTCTTAATAACAAATCAATATGGTTTTAACGTCATTTCATCAAGTAGACTTTATTGTAGGTACAGATGTTGTGTTTGGATCCAGTTCAAAGACGGCACTCTTCCACATATTTACAGGAACCTTTTGTGTTTTTGGGAAGGAGTGTGCTCTGAGCTTTTGCTCTTTGATGACAGGAGCGGCGTAGCATTTGTTTCAGTATTGCACAGCTTTAAATAGCGGTGTAATGACGCTCTCATAATGAAAATTATGTCTCATATTAGAAGTAAATAGCTGTAAGTATATAAATCCTTCAGCTTAAATGAAGTGTGACTATTAGCCAGTAGGCATTTTGAAACTGCTAAATGGTGATGGCTTTCCCCGATAACAGCATAAAAACTACCAACATATTTGTTGTTCAACTTGAAGAAAGTTTTTTATAGTCTCTTTCTTAAAAGATACAGCACCATGATGACATGTTGATGATGAACTTGAATAGTTTGTCATCACTGGCTGTTTAGTAAGTACTGCTACTTCTTGAAAGCGCTAATCATGCAGTTAATTATATTATAGTGGTGTTGAAACATTATCATCATTTTTGTTGCCAGATTGTTTCTGTATCTTGACAAGGTGAGCAGCGCTGCTCTGTCTCTGACCTTTTATTGGGATAGACCCGCGGTCGTAGATACTAGGATTGTAAGGCTACACACACTCACACAATCAATCCACTTCAACAGCTTCTTCAATTCTCAAATCTCCATGGTAACTGATCTTCATTACCAATGTGTGTATGTGCATTTTTTGTGTGTCTGTCTTGTGTTGCTGTCTGGGAACCTGCACCTTCTAGATTATGTGATGATGTAACTGGAGCCTTTCGGGGGCCTCTGGGGTGGGAAGGACACCGTGGAAGGACTGCTATTTTCTCACACCTGATTGGGTGACAGCTAGAGTGTTCTCGCTGAGGGTTTTTTTTTTTTTTTATGTTCGGTGTTCCAGGCAGATCGATTGAAACCTTTTACAAATGCAAGTGCTTGTGTATTATGTACAGGAGGCACAAAGACATTTTTAAAGTCTCTCTCTCTCTCTCTGCCGCTTTGTCTCTCTCTTTCTCCTCTCGGCTGCCTATCCACCACTTGACAATGTGCTTGAATTGGAGAAAGGCAGGAAATGGTTTGGCCTAATAATAAACAATGACATTTACCGATCCCAGAGTAAGAGATGGAATGGGGACTGCTGGCCTATTTTAGTCCTCAGAGTCTAGATGAGTAAGCACTCCCTTTGGGATGATGGATCTAGGCTGAGATACTTTGTTTAAATAAAGACTGCCCTTGATTCACCAGAGCTTTCAGCCTTTCACCTTCTTCTAACTCCTATAATTTACGTACATCAATGTTTTGTCTTTTTTTGACTGGATTATCAATAAATGCCTTTTTTGCGATCAACTGTCACAGACTGATAAAACATGATTATTTAAACTGATTTACCTAGTATATAAACACTTTGATGTTTACTGTTCTTCTAGACAAAAAATAGGATTCAGATTTACCTCAAGGTAGTAAGCCTGAGCATCCTAGAAAAAAATCTTAATTGGCTGATATGACAAAGAGTGCTAATTACTGGAGCTCAAACTTTCTTTGTTGAAAATCAGGGTTGGTAACGTAGGCTATAGTACCATAATGCTTTTTGAGTATAGCGACTCAACTTTGTTTGCAGCATTAAAGACTGAATGCTGCCAAATCCAGAAAGTTGTCAGAAAGTTTACTATTTTTGATCACATTATTTTTATGTTCAGTTTTTATTGAGGAAAGTTTATCTACAGTTGTTTGTAATAAGGCAGTTTTAAGTACTGTTGAATGTGTTGGTGTGGAAAAAACACCTTTTTTTTTTTTTTTTTTTTTTATGTCTACACTCAACAAAGCGAGGTATTGTTTTCTTACCAAAACTCTGGTACTGTCTGTCATTTTTTATGGGATTAAGATAGATAGATTAAGAATAGATTCTAAAGGACATTCATTCTTATAGATAACCAAAGGGTGGATCAATCGCTGGAAGTTATAGGGTAAAATCCTCAAGACTAAACTGAATGAGGGATGTGATTTATTTGTTTCTCGTGCGTGTTTATGAGTGAGAGGTGTGATTTCTGAACTTCTACACGTAATCTAATATTGATTCACTGGAGAGACACTCAGACGAGGCGAGCGGGACGAAGAGACAGTTTGAAGTAGACTAAAGCCTTGCTATTCAGGGAAGGGTAGCTGAGATCTAGGCAGCAAAAGAGCTGTGTGTGGTATCCTGTTACACAATGCCAATTTACTGCCTCAACACTCACTACATTCTATACAGCCCACTCTAACACCTCCCTCTCTCAGTACCTCTCTGTGTCTACCTCTCTCTCTCCAGCCTTGGCTTCTACACGCACCTTCATGCTATTTCTGTTGAAGTAATTGTATAATACACAGAGAGTAGAAGTACTGAGGCATGCAGTTATAGTATTGAACTTTGTGTGTGACTATGGTAACGCTAAAATTTCTGCATGTGTGTGCGTGGGAACGTATATTGAGTGTGTATCTTAGATTGTATGAGTACGATGTGTCGCTGCTGCATCTGTCTTGTGTGTGTGAGTGGTGTGACATTACAAACACATTGCTTCCATGCAGTCCTGTCTGTTTTCTTCCCCACCACACACACACACACACACACACACACACACACACACACACACACAACCCTCGCCGTCATTGCTCTGATATGTGATTCACATCACTTAAGCAGTGGCTCTGCTGAAAGCCTTAATAAGGTTAGAGAGAGTAAGTGCTGTGTGTTTGTGCCTACTAGCTGCTCTCTGTGCGTAGGTGTGTGTTTGCATGCGTGGCTGTGTGTGTGTGTGTGTGTGTGTGTGTGTGTGTGAGATGGTGGAGGAGTGGATTTGTAGAGGACTGAGGTGACTGTCCGTCCTGTAGTTGCTAGTAATTGAGGTGATTTTTTTTCCTTCCTCCTCCTGCTCCTTCTCATTTCTCTCTTCTCCTCCACTCTTCCTCCTTTCCCTCATCCTCCGGAGTCAATTTGCGAGTTTCCGTCAGAGGAACAAGTGATCGCGCTCCAACCTCCTCGCTCTCCTCCCACCTCTCCCTCCCCTTCCTGCTTTGCTTGGGCTCTCTCTCTCCTTCTCCCTCTCTCTCTCTTCCTCTCTCTCTCACTCTGCCTCTGCAAAGCATTCCACTCTGTCCCGATCACTTGGCCCACGGCTCACTGCTTTCCCTTCTTCTCTGTCGTTCAGTGGCTGTATGAAAGGAGCACCGTGTGGTCACAGGCGAGGCTGGTGGAAGAAGTCAAAGCAGAGGTAAGCACACTCTGTCCTCCTGCTCCTCCTCCTCTCTCTTTCCCAGTCTCTTCTTCTCGTCTTCAGGGAGTGGCAGACGGACTCGGGGGCAGCTCTCAGATTTGAAATATTGCACCCTAAACTGCATGATTTGATTGTCACCTGATTCCCACCACTCTCTTATTCTTCCCTCATTTATTCTGCCACTATTTCTCTGTACTGCTTCCTCTCTGTTTTTCTTTTCTCTGCCTCATTTGCACGGTCTGTTTCACAATATTTGATACCATCTCTTATCTCTACCTCTCTTGCACTCCATCTACCTCTCTCTTGCTCATTTGCTCCCTGTTTTGGTCTCTCCCTCCGTCTGTCTCTGAGTGAAGTGGCACACACAGCGCTGTACATCTGTTGCGTGTCATTCTGTGCTGCCTATCAGATTTCCCGTAAAGCTCCCATGTTGTTCTTAATTGCGTTGCCTCAATTTTCCAATTCCCCCATTTATCTGTCTTTTTAAATAAATTTGAACCAGACATTTAGAGAATACTTGTCAAATATGGTATAATAATAATAATACCTTAAAACAAAAATAATACTTGAGTGATTTTACATCTTAGAAATGACTCCTCCACTTTATATTACTAGACTACCTCGCTTTGTTAACATTTCAAACTGTACTGTGACAGTGTATTTATTCTGAGACATAAACTAAAGTGGAGAGGAGATAGAGTTTGGCCTTGATAGTGATTGGCTGTTTAATGGAGATCTATGGTGAAGGGAGTTGCTGCACTCCAGGCTCCGTCACAGCAACATACTTTGACTATTACTCTTTTGTCTCAGCCGGCCGTTTGTGTTAGTTATATATGGAGCACAAGTGAGCGCTGAAAGGTTGGAATTAATGTGTGCATGTAAGAGAGAGGGGGAGCTATAGACTGTGTGTGTGTGTGTGTCTACTTTGCACTCTGTCAAAGCTTGTGTGTATATTCCTGTATGCTTTTCCACTTTAGAGATGGAAAGTGCGCTTTTAAGTTTGTTTATACGTACTTTCTTGTATTTGATGTGAACACTCACGCTTTCCCTTACACCCGTTCTTTTTTCCTTTCTTTCTCTGTCATCTCTGTTTCTCCTTCACACTGTCTCATCAAGCTCACTCAAAACCTGCCACTTTGTTGTCTCTCTCTACCTCTACCCTCTCTTCTTTTTCCCGCCTTCACCACCTCACCTCCCACACCCCCATCCTCCCTCCTGCAGGTTTTAAAATGGATTCTCCTCAGTCAGAGTCATATGGGGAAAGGCAGAAAGCGGAAGAGAATAGAGCCCAAGGTGAACTACACAGAGGTAGGAGGCACTCTGTACTGTATTAAGACCTCTATCTACCTTTCCCTCTGCTCTACTTCTAACTCTTGGACATGTCCCGTACTGTTTTGGAAAACCTCTGTCTTCCATTCTGTCAGGACCTTCTGCTCTCTCTAAAAAAAAAAAAACAATTGCCTAGCGTAGCTGCGATTCTTGAGTTGTGTAGTTTTTAATTTGTCTGACAATACAAATATCCCCAATTCTGTTTATGTGTTGCGTCTGTGAGGACAGACTACCTTGAACGTGTTTAAGTCGTGTTTACGTTGTGTCGCTGTCCACATATTTAACCTTTTAAGAGCTTGTATACATCACATTCCCTCCACTGTTTCTGTGTGTGTGATCATGGCGTGCGTGTGTGTGTGTGTGTGTTTGTCTTAACAGAGTGGAAACCATTTAGCCTCGACATTCTAGATTTTGAATCTGGCCTTGAACCTTTGTTGCATCCCTCTTTTTCTTCGCATATTTCCTGTGAAGTCACACTGTTTACTACCTAATAAAATACAAGAAAGTTGTATGAAAATATCCAAAAAGATGGTTTTGTCTGTGTGTAGTGTTAATTAGTATTCTCTAGGGATGGCTAATCCCCTCCACCCACTAATTGACATACACACACACACACACTTGCATACATGCCTGTGTCATTAATGAACGTGCACTGATCTATAAGACACAGAGGGCCAGAAGTCATTAGAGAGACCAGAGCAGCTTCAATATCACTCCCAATATGCTCAGATATTGTAGACTGTTGGAAACATTGCAAAGCCTCTCATTCTTTTGTACAGTACATTATATGGCTTGGATAAGTTAGGTAAGTGCCCTTGGGTGTTTTTAAATACAATTTTGGAAGGAAAGAATAAAACAGTCATTCATTGCCAAGAATACTGTATACATCCAGTGACTTTTAAGGTCTCCAACTTCTTTCAGATTTCCCTTCAACGCTTTTTACCGCAGCTTTCAACAGATGTAATGTAAGCTCTATTCATAAACAAAGGTATAAAGGCTTAAGCTGTACCTGAAGTCCAGAGAGTATTTCATAAAACCTTGTGTTGGAACATGATTTTTCTGGATTAGATTACCTCCAATTCCTGTGACCTGTAGAGTCCGCAGCCAGTGCAGCCCCCTTTAAACCCCTTCAACCACCTGATACATACCGGCATATTTACAACGTATACACACACACACACACACACACACACACACACACACACACACACACACACACACACACACAAATACACTTACTTCTAAGGGGCAGCAAAAAGGGTCTCTTCCTGTGGGGGGCAGAGAGTGCTGAAATCAGCCTTATGAAAGAATAGCCAATTACTGTCCACTTGGCCATACACAATGAGTGAGAAAAAGGAGGGAGGTACCAATTGACCGACGGATGGAGCGAGGGGTGTGGTGGGGGTGGGGGGTGGTCAGCGTTTGAAGTTACACCATAAAAGCCATCCTGAAAGGAAACACGAAGTGACCCCTCCCCCCTTTCCATCCACCTCTCTTCCCCCTGTGGCCCGGCCCTCTCCTGCTGTATGTCTCCCTCCCCTCCCTTTGTTTCTGTGTACAGAAAGTGCCCCATGGATGGACCAGGTGTATTTTATATTACTCCTTCATGTACTTCAAACGCCAAACAGCCCAATTTCTACTCAACCCCTCCTCTTTTTATCTACCTCTCCTCCCTTTCTCTTCCCTGCGTCTACCAGCCTGTTGCAAGGCCGTAAATCTACCCAGCAGACCAGATCAGCAAAGGAGGAGGGAAGGCGGTTAAAACACGGGAGACAGGAAGGTAGTAGGGGGAATAAAAAGTTGGGATGAATCAGAGATGAAGTAACAACTGGAGCATAGAGCTATGAGAGCGAAATATGAAAAACAACACTTGACTCCTCTGCTGGGCATTTTGTATGCCCTGTGGTTATCTTTTAGATCAATTCAAATTGGAATGGAAACATGTATTCAAGCCACAAAATGATGTACTTGGTTGGAAAAATAGAAAGGGAAAGGGAAGAGCAGAGGATTCTTCAGAGAAGAGAATAAATAGATGATGGAATGACTGTATGGTGAGAAGAGATGAGATGAGAAGATAAAGAGGGGATGAAGAAAAGGTAGAGACGTAGAGAAAAAAGTAGAAGAACAGAATAGAGATTGAGGCAAGAGCTAGACGAGTAGTGGGTTGGAAGTTGACCATTATGAATTCCAGTAAGGTAATGAATCTGTTGCGGGGATTTGAGGAAATGAAGAGAGTGGATATTTGAAGAGATGAGAGAAGCACGCGAGAGATGAAATATTACAGGACTGGTCAGATGATGTAAGAGTGGTTAGGAAGAGAGGAAAGAGATGCCACGGGAGGGAATACAGAAGGGCAGACCTTTAGTGGGCAGGAATTAAGCTGAGCCAGGGTCACATTTAGCGTTAATGACATCATGGATGATTAGGAGATATACACATACTAATATACACACACTCGCCAATTTTAGATGCAGTCTGTGTAAGGAGCCAGACACCCCCCACAGAGCAGCCCGAGGTCTGGTCAATTTAATAGAGCCAAAGTTTATTACCAACTTCCCCTCGTCTTTGTTTCTGTTATGTTATTGATTCACAAGCATCCGACTTTTTTTTGAGGACCTGTGCGTGTGAGGAGCGTGCACGTGTCCAATGTGTGTGGAGGGGTCTGTAGGGGGATATTAGTCACGCCCGCTTGGTAATGGGCCTCATTTTGCTCTCATTTTCATCTGCGGTCTCTGTAATGAGAGGGTCTGTCTGCCCCTGCTGATCAGGACAGGAAACCCTGTAGGGGAAAAGAGCTGGGAATAGCGGGAGACCTTGGCCAGCTTTCCTGGGAACAACATGTTCCTCTGCTCTTTAAAAATGCTGATTATAAGTTGTATTGATCTGGGTCTTATATTGATCATCTTGATTCCAAGGTAAAATGCCTCAAAGATGATCAATAGGTGCCATAACATACCTAACCTTTTCCTAAAACCATAAAGTGCAGCTATGCCATTCAATACTGTCAGGGTTCATGGAGTCACTTCACTGCAGAATGGTTTTAATGGCTGACAGATGTAGCATTTCCAAAATAAAAGTAACACGTGCACATACAATGGTCAAAATTAAAATTATATCTATAACTGTTTTTAAAATTTTGTAACTTTACTGTGGTAAATTACCTCCATACTCAAGATTAGTGTAGTTCTTTTCTATTATTTCTGCACGGAATTACAATTTTTGATGCAGTATGACACATCCTAGCGCCTTTGCTGCAGATGTGATGAGGCTCTGTATATAGAAAGTGTTTACATAGCTCTTCCCCTGGATAAACAAGTCCGGGAAATGGTGTAATCCTGAATTCTTGTCATTCCTGCAGAAATTGTTCTGCACTACACTATTTTTAACTGCAGTGCTCGCCTCTCTGAATCTAAGGCTTTTTTTGGTGGACAATTATTATGTCCACCAAACGAGTCAGGGTTATTTTGGTGGATTTTGAGATCATAATTACTAATAAAAAATATCTTGTATTATTGGTATCGTGATTGTTTGAACCACACCTAATAATTCCAACTTTGGTAATATAAATTTTAGAGGCTCAAACAGTAACATATGATTATAAACACTAAATGTCAACCCAGATTCTGCAGGGAGGAGGACGATGAGTCAGCCTCAATCTCAGTCACTCTGTCTCCTCATTTGCACCAATAAGGCAATCTGTACCTTCCTGGTTGATGGAGGGTTACTGTGAAAAGACTTACCATCAGGTTTGTGGCTGAGGAAACATTAACAGGTTTAACAGCCTGTATTCATACTGCTCTTCAAATTGTACTGTGTCATATGTTGAAAACAACAAGATTCAATTTACTTCAGATTTGTCAGATTGGGAGGCAACTTTACAATATCTAGTAGTTAAAAGCGAAAATAATATGTTGTAAAACAAAGGCTGGGGGTTCTCATTTTATACATACTGTAGGTCAATTTTAAGCATTTAGAAAAGACACTTTGGAGAGATTGAGTTGTACCTCAGGTTTTTCAAAAAATCCGTCACTCAAGATATATCTAGAATTTCTGAGTTCTAAGTAAAGGATACTGGACTAGATTTAATTATTGAAGGTGTTTCACGTCTCATCCAAAGGGCTTCTTTAGTTCAGAACTCAAGAAGTCCTTGACTTTGCAATTTCAAAACCATGACCTGGATGACCAAGAAATCTTTGCTTACATAGCTCAACATCCGCTTACTAGCTTTTTCCAGAGCTTCCAACCACATCTTGCATCTTCCTCAACGGATTAAGTCGCTCAGTTGTCCTGCAACCTAAGTACATGGTGTATATATGATAACATGTGGGCATATGCGGGTCCATGCTTGTGAAATGACAACCGAACTATCCATGTCAATTGAGCGAACTTTATAAGTTGAGTGAGACCATGAGATGCAGTTCAGAGCCCTGGAAAAGGCTAGTAAGTGGGCCTTTTTTATTAATTTATTAGTAACTTTTTTTTTTTATTGGCTTAATATCCAAATTTTCCAATATCCAAAAACTTTTTTAACTGCTTAAAACATTGACCAACAGCAACTGTTGTTTTCAAGGTCAAGAATAAATGCATACATCTTAACTGGTCATAGTAAACACATACTAAAAGCGACAACTGCAAAGTGGTACAATCAACTTGTAACAACTTGGTTTCACTCGAGAGTTTTCAGAATTTCCAGTTAACCACTGTTCATTACCGTCATTTTGGGTGTGGTTAGCTTATTATTATATGTAAGTATTTCTTAGGGCATTTTATGCCTTTTATAATGAGCCAATAGTAGAGCAATGGGGAACATAATGCAACAGAGGAATCTAGCTGGACACAGAACTCTACTGCTGACAAACTAAAGGCTCTGAGTTAAAATGAGGATTTTGATCCTATAGCAGCACAGCTATGCCATAAAGACACAGATACCAAGCTCTATTTTTGGAGATAATGTAAACCCATGGAGAAATTAACTGAGT